AAAGGAAAGTCCTCCGGATAGCGTTAAACGATCCTCTCGTGCGATTTTGAGCGTTTTAAAGCGTTTTCATTGACGAAGGAACGACAGGTGAAACTTCCTTTCATTTTTTGCCATTTATTCCGCGAAACAAATTTTTCTTCCACCTGGTTCATCCTTTGAGATCGTTTAAATTACGCGTAGAAATTTGGTTAGGTGTAATGTGAAATTTGGTCCGTAGCTGTAGAAGATAATTAGACTTGTTTTACTTGACCCATCCTGAAGATTGAGATAAATCTTGAAATATTCATTTTTACTCAATTTTTAAAAATTCCAACGATTTAATTCCAAGGTTTAATTTTATTCCAACGCAAACCGTAATGGATGTAAAATGCAACGATAAATTTTTCCGTTGATCGATCACTCTGCAGCAGAAAATTGATTTCGTTTTAAACGGGCTTAGCATAACTGACATTCTTTTTTCCCACACTTGTGACAGTGGGTTTGATCGATCGAGTGCAGCTTCACGTTCCTAAATTCCTACCAGCGTTTTGAGGAATATTTGTCGATATTGTAATAGATCGAGAGAAGAATTTTCGTGGTTGAAATTTGTCTCTCTGCTCGCATGATAGAGTATCGCGGCCGAGCGCGGCTGGCTTTGACCCAGTGATCGTCTTCGTTGTTTGTTGATGGCATTGGATTAATTGTCGGATTACTGTACCGGATGTTTAGACGTTAAAAACTTCGATTACGGACGTGCAGAGCCGCTGTGTAAATTCCGAGAATAAGCGCAGCTCGGTCTTTGGATTCCTCGAATGTACCTTTGGGGCTGTGTTGAAAATTCTCGTCCAACTTGTAGACGAATAGTGTTGAAAATTCTCGTCCAACTTGTAGACGAATAGTGTTGAAAATTCTCGTCCAACTGGTAGACGAATAGTGTTGAAAATTCTCGTCCAACTTGTAGACGAATAGTCTTGAAAATTCTCGTCCAACTTGTAGACGAATAATCTTGGAAATTGTAATTCGATTTTTTATTCAATGGACAATCACAGGTCAATCGTTGCGATTTTTCGGTAATCAGAATAGACTCACATTTTGCCTTTTTAATCTTTTTATGGGATAGCATATATTTGTTGACCTAATTGTAACACAAAGTGAAATGTTCTATCTTTTTTGTAAGGACATCGACAAAATATTGAAAAATTTACACGATAATGACAAAATTGTAATTTTCGTTGAAGAGGGAAATACATATTTTGCACTCGAGAAGGACATTCTTCGTTGCTAATGAAAACTGAACAGAAGTACAAACACGATGCAAACGGAATGGCTAATGTTTTAGGACGTGCATACGGAACTCATTATCGTTGGAAAATACACACAAAGTTGCTGGAATGTATAATAAATTTGTGCAAAAAAGAGGTGGTATTCTTTGCACGTGTCGCGGTACAGTTTTTCATTTAAAAACAGTGTTTTGCATAACAGTTGCAAGCAGTACTGGAGGAATAGTAATTTGATTAAATCAGTACTTGATTTGCATTACATAAATAACCTAATCCTGTAATTCTTTTACCTATTGGCGTGACTGTGACATTGAATGCTTTACTTAGAGTAAACCAATTTTGTAATTTTGCAGTTAAATTAGCGCTATTTTAGATAACGGTTCATTTTAGTTTATCAAAAGTTGTAAATAATCTGAGGAAATGTTTTAAAACGGTTAAGCACGAGGTTAAATGAAATTCTGACAATGAATTTCATTTACAATAGACGTCAAAAATAAAGCAATTAAATCTACTATCGTATAATTTTTCTAAGATTTGATCTCTACTCCGTTCTTCCATTACACTATACAGGTGTTTGGGTCAAAAAAGACTTATTTTAGCAATTAATCAGCAATTAATTTTTAATATAAAAAAAAAACATGAATTTGGTACCAGCAAAATTAAAAAACAGTCTTCATTATCTTTACAAGTCATTATTCTAGATAAACAAGTTATGTGACTCGCGGTATATCCGTCAGGTGAAGTAGTAAAAACAATGAAAATATTTGAAGAATACAAAAGTCTCTCATCTATTTATCTTATTCTTTACCTAATTTTACTGTTATTTATCTAATCTAATTTATTTTTTATCTAATTTTACATATTAACAAACCAGAAGTGTAGTGTAATTTACACTTGACATAATTCATTGATATCCTGTGTCCACAATAGAAGTAGTATCTTCAAAATGTTCCGTAGTCAAAGGGTTAACACCGACTTGATCACACCGTCAATCTATCCAGCAATTACACGGTGACAAGTGTTCCTCGCCACGTTTAACCATGCACTAAATGAGTTCCCCTAGGTTCATTGACTTTCGAAGGTTCGAGCGTGTATCGGTGAGAAAGAGGTCCTATGGGAAGAGGGAGTCCGCGAGACACGAAAGAAAGATATTTCGAGACCTGGGCTTACGCGTACGTTCCAATGTCATCGAGATATTATTTTCGACACGGAGCTTTTTGTATCTCTCTGTGTTACGATCGCGGAGCCATAGAGAAACCGCAGAGGCGGCAAAATTCCGATCCTCGGTGTTTTCCCCATCGACAGCACAGATTTCCCTCCGTCCAATCAGATTTCGCCGAGCGTTACCGCCTGTGGAAACGCGGCGGAAACAACCGTGTTGCATAATAAGCGCGTGTATAATCAAGAGCCAGGAACGCATGCTCCAATTTCGATCGAGCCAGCTGGTTCAAGTCCCTTCGATGCTCGTCAACGTCTGCTTGCTAGCTTCGCTCTTTTGATGGTTGTTGCGTTAAGAAAAAACCTGCCACTGCTTTGCTTCCGGAAGCTTGCTCACCTAAAGATACACGATTCTGGGATAAACGTTCGTTATCGCTGATCGTGTCTGTTGCGAGGTTTGGATGTGTATCGAGAGGGTTTCTAGCCTAGACCTTTGGAAACGTGGATTTTTTTTTTGCATTTCTTGGGAAGGATGGAGCTTCGAGAATGCACTGTTAAATTTTTGTAGCAAAATTTGAGGTATTTTGACTTGCACAGGTTTTTGTAGTTAGGGGCACTACCTTCGTTGGTTCAGCAATATGTAGCTCGTCTCTATCAGTTTCTGTTGCACTCTTTTCGTGGGATATTTTTTGACTTGAAGTAATATAGTAGTCTAACTCTTTTTAGTGTAACTGTGCATACTTTTTTTCCCTTTCAAAGTTTAATCATGTCCCACAAAATTGTATTAAGTATTGGTGATATTTGAGAGGGTTAAAGTTATAGTGGTATAAGTCATATTTCTGAAAATTTGGACCTAAGTGCTGAAATTCAAGTGAAGTAAGTTATAATTGGGACAGACTTTGTGGTAAGATTGAGTACGATACAGTACCAAATTTGATGCTATGGAAAATTTATTTGATTATTTTTAATAGTATTCTCTGTTTCTCAGAATAAGGAAATTGTGATTTACACCACTATGACTTTAACATCTTCATTTATTAAAAAACACGAAATTCCACCAACCTTCAGAATTATCAAAATTTTTAAACAAATGTGAAATAAATATTGGTACTCTTAAGTGCATTTTGTAAATTAGGAGGATTCTCAGAAAGTTCTTTTGCACGATGAATTGAAAAGAGCAACATACCTCACATACGGAAGTTCGCAAGTGTGTAACAAAGTTTGGAAGTAACAGAGATTAGTCTGAGGTGTCTGAAACGTTTAGCGTCAGTGACGTCTATATATTTAACAACAATATAATAAATCATCGACACCATAAAACATTTTTATCGTCAATAGGAAATTTGACCGAAGCTTTACGACGTGTTCAGAGTTTAGAACAAAAATAAACACTATAAAATATCATGTCAGTTTCAAGGTAGCTGCGTAAACGTTTATGTCATGAGTCATTTTTGAAATTCGTAAGCGGGAAAAATTTGCATTCGGACAATCAACTTTAAATTTAATTTCAGACAAAATTTATTTCGTCCCTATACTATACAAATTATAATTACCTTTTAAATACGCTTCAGCGATTTCTCGCTAAATCTTCCATTCGATCTTCCAAATAAATATTATATTACATTTTTAAAGTAAGAAAAGTCTATTTACTCTAGACTCGAAAAATTGTTCGTCAGAAATTATGTATTTATTTTGTAGCTACCAAAATGTCTCGACAAATTTTCATAGGATTAATATAGTTCTTGGAACATTTCAAAACGATTTTGTAAAGAAATAAATAACCAAAATAAATGTTTAAAATTTTTATCATTGAAATATGTAAAACTTGATTGCACTCATGTTGTGCCTAATTAAAAAGAAAGAAAAAAAAAACGTGTAAAAAGAAGAAAAAAAAAAAAAAATGAATTGATCTCCGGAACTACGGAGGCTGATATCCCTTACTTCCACCGTTACCTGCGTAGCGTTGTTACACGATGGTAACGGCTATTAGGTCTAGTTCTGTGCATCATGTAGCGTTACGCTGTGATAAGTATGCGTACATGTTAAGTGCGACTTGTTGTAGCATTATACCGTGCAGTTTCGCACGTGTCGCTAACGTAACGCAAAATTAATAGTGATAGTATTACTAAATAAATAATTGCAGGATGTAAGGGTATTCAGAGTAGACCTGTTTCCGTTTAATAGGGCTGTATAGGATCGTATCTTTCTCGTTTTATTCTTCTGTACATTTTCTACACGTTCGGGAAAATGTTCTCATAGAAGAATTGTATTATCATAATGGTCGAATGTTTTAGATAAAAAATGTAGTAGACTGAAAAATTAAATTCTTGATAATATTAGTAGTAGATTTCAATAGAATTCAGCAGATTGTAATAGAATACAGTTGATTTCAATAGAATTGAGAAGATTTCAGTAAATTTTAGTGGTTCGTGTTGAGTAATTGTTCTAATTCTTATAACCGGGAGTTTAAAAAAGAAAAAGAATAAAATGAGAGAAGGGTGTTCTTTATTAGAACATAGTTTATCGTTTAAATCCACGGATCTCGTTCATTTCTGACAACATTTGCTTTGAATTCTGTTGCAGATCCCTGGAAGTGTTGAAGCAGCACGGCGTGAGACACTCGGAACTGCTGAAAGCTCAGAGGGCAGCCGGTGGTTGCGGATTGGGCGGTCCTCTGAGACACCCCAATTCTGTTCTTTTATGGCTCCGGTGTGACCAAGTGAGTATCGACGATAAATTTCATTTTCCGACTGATTATCGGGAGAAATGATGGGCAAAAGTAGTGCTTCTTCAGTGACACTATGGCCACATCTGTAATAGTATTTCCAGAATCAGTATTGATCGATATTAAATTATTTTATACATGATATTCTTCTTTACGTTACTCGTCGATTTGGACGAAACTTTATTAGCACATTTGATAACGAAGGCAATATATCATTTGTTAATACTCTCGAAATTCGCATGATTTTAGTTATTCGATCAAAGAAACAAGTTCCGCAATTATATCTCTAAATTTATAATTATGCAAATTTAACGTCCTATTTTGTCTTTATCAGACTTCACTGTGGAAATAGAGAGTATTGCAAGGATTGAAATAACAATTCGAAGAATAAATTAAAAATGGCTTCCCGTAAGCCATTAACCCATGGGGAAAAAAATTAAAGCACAAGAAAATTGTTATAGATGGAAAAAAATCTTCGAGAGTTATCGTCGTGTTTCAAATGCTTTTATGTCAAGTTCGACGTCAGTTAAAGTCCGTTTTCAAAAACTAAAGTCCATCTTTCAGTGTTGGAACGCAACGTTTACTACCTTTTTTCCTCTGAAATGTTGCTAATATTTCTCAATAATGTGTTCTTATCGTTCGGAAATTAGCGTACACAAACGGTGACTCGTCGCGAAATTACAAATTCTAATGGCGTTTGTTTCGTGTTCACCGCGAAATCGTTGGAAAGAACGGCGGAGGAGGGAGGAGGTTGGCCGACCGTTTTCAAGGCTGCGCGAGGCGATTGCACCGGATTTCATAACATTGTGCTACTTGATAAACGATAAAGTTTATCGGTCGGCTGTTAAGCCTGGCCGCTCTGTTAACGCACAGCCGAGCCAAAGATAATTCGTCCATTGAGTTTTCGTTCGTTACGAGGTTAAATTGTGACGCGTAAACCGCTGACACGTCTTCCCGTCGATAATTTCCGTTTTATCTTCGTACGATGAGGATACGTGCCTCGTATCGTGGTGAGAGATTTTGCGCGGGAAATCTGTTACAGGCGAGCTGATAAGTTCAGAAACTGTTGAACATGGCGACTTTTTACGCTATTTTTCAGACAAAGTTGTTGAAAAACGTTTACAATTTTTCAAAGAGACAGAGAAGTTGAACTTATGGAAAAGTTAGAAGTTAACTATTATTATGCAATAATTTACTGGGTGTAATTTATGAAGTGTGAAGTAATATTTGTACATCGTTAGTTCTTTTTCTCTTTTTCTTAGAGTATCTTACTTTTTCTGACTAACGGAAGGAAAAATTGAAAGAGGTAGTAATAGCGTATTTAAACTCTCCAGTGTTCTGAATGAAAATGAACTGCGTTAAAAATGATTAATTGTACAATTTCGTAGGTCAGAATAATTGGGGACAATTAAAAATAGAAAATATTCAAAGAATCGGTTTCTGTGATTGCGGTTTTGCGGTTGGCGGGACAAATCTTCTTAGATTTGAAACTGAGAAGGTTTATATCAACTGGCGTGCAGAAGGTGGTATGTGAATTAAAAATAACTAGTACGTTCCCATGGCATCGCTTATGTTCTTTGATAAACGATAAAGTTGATCGTGTCCCCCCCCGTTGCTCTGATGTTTAGTTAATCGTTCTCTTGGACACACCAAAGCAATCAGCTGCGTTATCATTGATACTTCATTCCGTGTTCCAAATACAGATACCGAGGTATGAGAATTTTGAGCCTGTGTCAGTGATACAATATGTTTTTCTTATGACAAACACGAATCTTTCTCCTTTTCGAAATTTAATTGTAATTGGTCAATTAACGTATGTCAACAATTCCTTATTTTTTGGATTCAAAGTTTGAGGCGGGAAATTTGAAGATTCAAAATTGTAAGCTTTGAATTTCATTAAAAGTGTATTTAAATTCTTAGCTTCTACATTTTTTTCATTTTTTCTTTTTGTCAACAATTCCGTAATTTCTGAATTTAAAGTTTAACGCGGGAAATTTGAGGATTAAAAGTTGCGAGCTTTGAATTTCATAAGAAGTGTATTTAAATTCTTATTTTCTTCCTTTTTTTCCTTTTTTTCTTCTTTGTTTGAGATAATGTTTTTATGACAAACACGAATCTTTCTCCTTTTCGAAATTTAATTGTAATTGGCCAATTAATGTGTGTCAGCAATTGTTTACTTTCTGGATTTAAAGTTTAACGCGGGAAATTTGAAGATTAAATTTGTAAATTTCGAGTTTCATAAAAAGGTGTATTTATTAAAGTGTTAGTTTCTACCTTTTTTCCGATTTTCTTTGTTCGAGATAGCACAAGACTGTGAGTACAATAGATTTATTACGCGTGCTAACGTTTCAGACAATATCGCGTGTGCTTTCGGCTTAAATTCAGTGATTTGTGAAGTTTTCAAAGTAGCTGACGTTTGCAATCAAGCATTTTACATAAAATAGCAGGGTCTAGTAATGATATCCCCGCATCGAGTTTATTACACGGCTTCCTTGGAACTATTTGTAATATACATGGGAGAAAAATTACCGGATAGGTGAAGACAGTTCTTAGAATCGATTTTTCCGTACGATTATTACCTTCCTACCTTTAGAATAGATTTATACACATAACTTGTTCTGCAAGTTTGGATAAAACGAAGGAAACAAAACCTTTTCTTCCACGAACCTCGATTTATCTCAAAGTAAAATTACTTTTAATAAAAAAAAAAGTCATTTTCATTCTGTATAATATGTACCATTCATTCAGTAACAAAGAGAAGGTGATCCTATTAAGGCACATCTCCATTCAAGAGTGAAACTATCGCGAATTGCTCTCGAGAGTCAAATTTATCAATGCCATGAAGTATCGAGAGTATCGGAGAGCTGCTTACACAATTTCAGAGTACTCTCGAGAGCCAAATTTATCAGTGCACAAAATATCGAGTGTCGGAGATCTGCACACAGAATTTTGAAGTACTCTCGAGAGCAAATAGTGAAAATCACTCGCACAGACACGTATCCCTGCACTACAACCAATCAGACCCACATTTTCCCCATTAGCCAACGTCTCATCTGTGCAACGCACGTGGAACTCTCTTGTTCCTACTCTAAATAAAATTCGATACCATTGAAAGTTACAATTTTTCCAAAAAATCTCAACAATTAAGATAGGGCCACTTTCCTGGTTCGAATTGAGCCTGGTTACGCGGAAACTGGTCGCAGTTACATAACTCTGCCGGTGGCAGCGACTGTCACGGGGTTAAAATTTGTAGAATTCATTGACACGAATAGCTGAACGCTCTAAACCGGTGTATTCTAGACACCAGCGCGGTGTTCGTACACCGGTTTCAAAATCGGAAGTCGAACCATCGGCCTTGCATATTGCAGTTGTAACACACCGTCGTTTGTTGGAGAATTTCTTTCTCGGCTGGAAAGAGCGAGAAGGAGGCTACTCTGGGGCAAATCGGAACTTTCCCCGAAGGGGTCTCGTTGAGCAACACACCTAAGACGATGTGCGCGAATAGGTGAAAAATTGAGTAATAATCGTTGCACTCTTGTTTCACTCGCGCTATCGTTGCCGGTCTCGAATGGAGTTTCATGGTAATTTTCATTCGGCTGTTTATAGGCGATTGGCAACTGTTAGGAAACACTGTGCAATGTGTGTTTCAGTATGAGAAAGACCTTGGTTCTGTTTCAGCGTTGCCCTATTTTTTCCTTCTTCTTTTTTTTTTTTTGTTTCACTCGCATGTTATCGATTGCTCGTTTTAGAGTTTACGTGTACAAAGTTTTACAGAGTACCCCTGTGTGTCTGCTGCTGCTGCAAGCCTTCAGGTTTTGTACCTGTGAGAATTTACTCGTTTCACAATAGAGGCTTGTTTTATGGTCTGCAGATTTTATTGGGATACGAGAGGAGTAGGTGTACGATTTATATATTTGTGTGGATGAAACGATAGCGAAACGCTGTTTAAATTGTTGGTGTTAAATGTGGGATTTAGAAGAGCAAATTGGGAGTGTCGAGTTTTGAACGGTAAGCTGTCAGTGACGTGTATTAATTATTAAATATCGAATGGTACAGTGTCGGTAAGTGTAATATCAAATAATGAATTTCTGTAGTGTCAAGTATTCGTCGAATAATGGCGATTACTGTCATCTTAGACGGAAAATAAACCTGAATTAAAATTGCAATAAGTTTTCGTAAGTGATCGATGAAATGGATGAAAATTTCGCAAGCGTTCAGTGAAATGCACGAAAATTACGTACGTGGATTTTCGAAACGATTATTTCTTCAGCAGTAACTTACTTTTATATAGAAAAAATATTATATAATTGATTGGTGAGATTGTTACATAAAAATACCTTGCGAGTCGTGGATACTATGAATGCTCTAATTATCAATAAATTAGAAACGAATAATATTTATTCAACAAAAACGTGTTCTTCATTAGCGATTGTTTCTTTAGCTGTAGTCGTACTGAATTATCAATTAATACGTTCTATAGTATACACGCGAAAGTCGATTTTTTACTATTGCAAAACTCCTATCATAATTTTCCACGAATTTTGCGTTTGCATTCATACTTTTATTTCCTCGTTACAAAAACAGCGAAGTTTAGGAATTTTTAAATTGCAGAAAACCACTTATTGGGACTTTTTCGACCCACAGACCTTAACTGTGTAGTCTAACGCACTAAAAAGAAAAATACTATCATGCACATACTCTTGCCTTCCTCCATGTCGCTTAACCCTTTAATCTATAGCAACGAGTCCGGCTCGTGGCAGAGACTGATACAGTACCGAAGCAGTAAACAGCTGACCCTTGAATGCATAGTCAGAAAAAAGTCGTAGGTTAAGGGGTTAATCCTCCAAAAGGTGTTAGCATCGACAGATCGAACCGGGTCACCCTGCAAGCCGAGTAAACGAAAAAGCAGCACTCCGAGAGGTCTCGTGCTCCTGTTTTCACGCGAACAGCTGTTCGTTTCCCGGTACATTGACGCGCGTGAAATCAGAATAGGA